CTTTTTAGGGTAACTCTATCATTAACAAAAATTGACTACATGAGTATACTTGTATACTTGCAATAGTTTTACATTATTATCAGACTGAATAAATTGAAAATTTGGCTGACACAAGGTACATCTTTGTTAAATGAAAAAAAGCAAGTGGTAGAATAGCTTTACAATACTTACCTATTACTCTGTTCATCTATCCGCACTGAAAAATTGGGATGAATAAACTCCAGATGCATAACCATGGTGACCTCCTGGGTATGGGATTGCAGGGAGCTTTTACTTTATTTAAAGTAAATGTTAATTTCATTTAACTGTTCATCTTTAACGTTTCTATATTATTTGAAAAAATATTTTGCAACAAGAGGGTGTTTTCAGAAGCTTAATATTTTACAGGAAAATCAAAAATTTTTTAGAATAAAATTCTACTTTATAAAAGAATCTATTAACTTTTTAATATCTTCGTAATTAATGGCGTGGGATAAATGAAGAAAAATGAGCACTAATGTTTAGAAAGATGTAGGCAATGATAATTTTTTAAAAATATATTTTTATTGATTTCAGAGAGGGAGAGATAGAAACATTAATGATAAGAATCACTGATGGGTTGCCTCCTGCACACCCCACACTGCAGATCAAGCCCACAAACTGGGCATGTGCCTTGACTGGAAATCGAGCTGTGACCTCTTGGTTCATAGGTCGATGCTCAACCACTGAGCCACACCAGCCAGGCAGCAATGACAATTTTAAAAGGAGAATGAAAGGGGCAGAGGGCTAACTGCATTACCAGGAGTGGTGGAATGACTTGCTTGTCTTGGTAGCATTAATAAAGGCATAAATGTTAGTAATGATTTCTTTCTTCTCTGCACCTTGCTAAATTAATAATAACATGCTGGCATGAGTAACCATATTTGGTTGCTTGTTTCTTTGTTTAAATGTATTTTATCTTATTGATTAAAAAATATCCACCACCAATGTTGTGAAATTCAACTTTATTAACCTAAATTAAAAGATGTTTTATGACAAAACCCAGATAAGTAAAACTATCTTTTTCTTTTCAGATCTAAAATGAATCTTGTATGGTAACAAAGCAAAACTAACTGAGTGAGCCAAAATAGAGACATTTAATTACTGAAGACATTTTTAGTTTTTACTGTCCTTTCATGTGGCTCAAATTCATTGAATCCTGCTAAAACTCTATCCCTGCTATGTCCTAAAAATCATGTCACAAAAGTGTTAATCAGTTCGACTTCCACCAGGAGAAATCATTAGTATGTGAATGTGTTCAGTTATTGAACAGATGTATTGAAGAGAATTGGGTTATTAGAAAATTCATGTGTTTTCACTTTACTTGTCCTTTCTCATGTATGTGTCTGTATTGTGCCTGTGCACTGGAAAGTTAGAGGCTGAAAGGGTTGAAACTCACAAAGAGTTCTTTTTATAAACATTTCAGTTATCAGATTTGGACACCACAGGAGGCCCTGCTAACTAAATCTCTCTTGTCACTGGCCGCCTGCTCATGTTCTTGGAGTGTCGCCAGCAGGTTCTATATCTGATTCCACTCAAGTGTGAGCATGTTTTATCAAACCAGGCTGGAGATTTTGAACAACAGAAAAGCTAGAAACCTGGGTGCAACGCAAAAGCTGACTGTGCAGGAGCAGTAGCCGTCTGTCCACATTCTACAGCTTTGGGGAAGTATTTCTTCTCCTGAAATACCTAGCAGTTCCTATCTGGGGGGTTTCTGAAGGAATTGGATCTATACCTGCATGGCTAAAAATAACTTTCAAGGATGGGAGTGATCACAGTGACCATTTACCCAGCAGCCCACGGACCCAGCAGCTTGGCAGTGTGGAAAGAGGATGATGGTTTTTGCTGTCATATTCCTAGACGTCTGAACAATGACATTGATGGTTACCAGAAAGATTGTGGCTTGGACTGTATTTCTAAACCTTAACATTTACTTTTTGTTTCATGCCTATCAAAGCAGCCACTGACTGCAGAAACATCAGGTGTGTTTGGAAGCAATCACCTGCTTTGTTACTCTGCAGGGACCTCTATCAGTTTGGAGTTGTTGGCTGTCCATTCTTTCCTTAATTGGTTGAAGTCTGGATTTCTCATCTTTCTAACTCTGTATCACCAAAAAAATACTCCTATCGAGGTCTCAGATAATTTCATATTGGCTGCTGTGTCAGAAACTAGCTACCTTCAGCCAAAACTATATTCTCTTCTTGAATACAAATTAGCTGCTTATTGCCCAGATTCCCTTAGTATGGGCTAGGAGACATGTTCTCAACCAATGGAATATGTTTCCAAATTCCAAGTCAAGGGAATGAAGAAGTATGTGTGTCTTGTCCACCTGCTGCTTTCTCATTTGCCGCCTGAATGCAGAGACTCCAAGGTCTCACAGGAGGGTGGAGTCATGAGGAGATGGAAGGTGTTTGGGTACCAAAATGACTTTGTGGAGGTCCGTGACTAATCAGGAACATTTGTATTATAATGTTAGATAATAAAGAAATCAACTTTTATTAAGAGCCCGGAAATATATATTAGTATTACATAGCAAATATAGCTGCTGTCACTCATACAACAGTTATTATAGACTATAAACCTACTATGTGCCAGGCACTCTTTTAGAGGTTTACAAGAGCCAGATACTGTGCTAGGTGCTAGGGATACACAAAAGAAAAGACACATTCTTAATCCTCATTGAGCTCAACTCATCAATGAAGAGATAAGCAATTATAGCACAATAAGGGAGTGCTTATAATGTATTATATTATGTACAGGGAACAGAGATATCAGGGAAGAAATATCTACAAATGCCTAGAACAGCCATGGGCAAACTACGGCCCGCGGGCCGGATCCGGCCCGTTTGAAATGAATAAAACTAAAAAAAAAAAAAGACCGTACCCTTTTATGTAATGATGTTTACTTTGAATTTATATTAGTTCACACAAACACTCCATCCATGCTTTTGTTCCGGCCCTCCAGTCCAGTTTAAGAACCCATTGTAGCCCTCGAGTCAAAAAGTTTGCCCACCCCTGGCCTAGAAAGAACTGAGATGTATCAGACATGGTGGAAATAGGGTCAGGAGAGGATAATTGGAGAGTTATTACATGACAAGGCATGAGGGCATGATTGTTTGGGCATTAGCAATGTTCAAGAGGGACTGGGATGTGAAGTCCAACAATAGGAGTGGATGGAGACATGAGTGGTGAGGTGGCATTACAAAAATTTATAGGCAGGTCCTATAGGCCTCAGGGAGGTATGTGGAGTTTAAGCCAGGTGATGGGGAAATCACAAAAATACCCATTCCTCTCCACCTTCGATCATCACCTTCATGGCAGCAGAATATCTTCCAAGCCCTTGACTTTGATTTACATCAACCTGTGGGATGTTAGTGCACATAATACAATGATAGGTTTGAAATTTGCTTGCATAGTTAAACTTACTCTCTTGTTTCTGCCTTTCACCGAGAAAACCTGCCTCAGGTGGCCACTGGTCCAAGGGCAGCCAGAGACCCGTGAAATAGACCTGCACCCACGCTGAGGCTGGGAGGCAAGCCCAGTAAAGCCCAGCAAATCCCAGCCCCAGTCAACTGAACTCCAGCCAACTCAAGGCTCTCTGAACCCCATCTTTCTGTTTCTATGAAGCCTTCTTTACATAGGCACCATTGACTACATTATTGGCCATTGAAGATTGATTCAGCTTCCAGCTCTCTCTCCTCCCTAGAGGTCAGGGGGTGAGACTAAAAGTTCCAACTTTCTCTCTAATCACATGATTGGCCCCCTGACAACCAGCCCCCATCTTCAGCTGCTTTCCAAAAGTCACCTCATTAACATAACAAAAGACACTCTCATCATTTAGAAAATTTCAAGCTTGTTAGGAAGTCTGTGCTAGGAACAGAACACCGTGATAGGAGGATACAACTGTTATTCACATTTGTATCTCAAGCACTTAGACTAGTTTCTGGAATGTAAATATTGGTTGCCTGATTGATCCCTGGTTAATACAGACTGGAGAGTTGGCTACTAACCACTGCTTCCAAGGTTTAGGCTTCCAGATCAAATTTTCTGAAGCACATACACATTCACATTTCTCCAGGACTTTCTGCTCTGCACACACACCGTGCGCAGTAACAATGCATAGTAATAAAATCACTTTTCTAAGAAGTTATAAAAATATTTGATTTGGACTTTGTGACTCTGCCAAAAAAAGTCAAGGGCAGATGCTTTATATTCAGAATTTTCTCTAAACCTCAAGGCCCTTTTTAGTTCTGTGATGGCTAACGAAGATGCCAGGTGGCATTGTCATCTCAGGGTCGATTCTGAATGATTTAATACAGGTGGACAAGCTGGAGCCCCACAGCGACCTACAAAGGCACAGGTGTTCCACTGGCAACACAGGGTCTTCTAGCCGCCACTGTTTGCAAGCCTTTCATAGGTATTAACGTTGGAATTAAAAAGGGAGGGCTGAGCTCGAAGTTCAGCCTTGAAATGAAGATTGGTTTGAAATCAAAGAGCTTCTAATGGACCAAATGGAAGTGACACAGACGTGTGTGTCCTTCAGAGGTGCTGTGTGCTGTCTCCACGTGGAAAATGGATCCTCAGGCTTCCTGGCAGCCCACCTCATGAAAGCTGGCCCTCAGGGGCAGAGACTGCCTCTGTTTTACCAGTAGCGGAGCTCAGGTTTGCATTCTTTGAAGGCGAAGCCCCGAGCAGTAGTGATGCTGCAAAAGTACTCAACTCTTACTTTAGATTTTTGGGCAGAGAGAGAGAGAGAGAATTACCATTTCTCTGTAAGAGTCTGTGTTTAAGTTGAACTGGAGCCTTAATGTCTGTCTTGGAAGGATCGGACCTTCTGAAATAGGGTTCTATCCAATTCAAACGGGGCATTGTAGAGATTGGCAGCAGGATCCCTCCTGGGGCTTCTGGCTTTGCACACTCAGAACTTGCTACCTGTTCCATGGTGGGATTTTCAGCCAGGAAAGACCTGGACATTGAATGTTGTTCTTGGCTGAGGGTGGGACGAACCCCGTTTTCCAGGAGAAGGTAGGAAAACAAATCAGTCGACTGCAGCATAGAAAAAAAGATGGGGGCACAGGCAGGGGAGCAGTGTCGAGATCTGGCTGGGAGGGAATTAGCAAGAAAGGAGAAGAAACTGTAGTAAGAATATGATAAAAACGGCAATTTACATGCATTTTTTCCAGATTTTTTTTTCAATTACAATTTACATCCAATATTATTTTGTATTGGTAAGACAATCATATACTTTACAAAGTGATCTCCCCCCATGTTTCCAGTACCCACCTGGCACCACACATAGTTATTTTTCCCATTGATTTCAAGAGAAAGTGGGAGAAAGGAGGGAGAGAAGAGGAAGAGGGAGAAGAGGAGAAGGAGGGGAAGAAACATCAATTGGTTGCTTCCCGCATGCACCCCTACCGGGGCTGGGAACCTGCAACCCAGGTACATGCCCCTGACAGGGAATCAAACCCACTACTCGAACCCAAGACCCCTGGGTCCGCTGGCCAACACTCTAACCACGGAGAAAACCCAGCCAGGGTACTTTGTACTTCTTAATCACTTCACCTTTTTCACCCACCCTCTACTCCCCCTACTTTAGTCTTTTCTCTGTATCTATGAGTCTGTTTCCATTTTGTTTGCGCATGCATATTTTAAACCTCCTTCATTTGGGTTAAATCTTACAAGTGAAACAAAATTCTGCCCTTCAATCCTTTTAAAGATGGCAGTGTTGCTTCATGACCACCAGTCCTAGTCTCTGGGCCAGCCCATGGCCCCGTATATCTAAATCGAGAGACATTATTTATCAATCTGGCCAGCCACAATCCTTAGTATTCACTTTGTAAATTTAGAGTAGAAACTGGAATATGAAAGGAAAGGATTGCATTCTGGGCAAAGGATGCCTTTAAAGACTTGCTTTATGTTGGCTCATCTGCTGGGTCCTGATTGAACCCAAGATATCCCACAGCTGGAGGTGTGAATAGGCTCTGACAACAGCGTTGCTCTGCCCACCCAGGAGGTCTTGCAGTGAGGAGCTCCCTACTGTGGCCCCGCCCTGACAAGGAGCCGGCACCAGACTTTTGTACAGTATCTCACTTGTGGCCACTTCTGCTGAAGGATGTGATGAACCAGTAATGACAGTGAGTACGTATGTCCAATAATCCTACAATGTGGCGTATGCATTCCTAAAAAAGAATCCCTCTGCGATGGAATTTTGCGCCCCCAAAATAATAGGACGTATGGGAAAATGGAGTTGTGGCAGAAAACTCAAACACTGACCCATCATGTAAGTGATACAAGAAAACTATCACAATTTTAATTTAAGCATCTTAAGTTCCTCATAAAGACACATTCTATTAAATATAGAATGTTATTTTGAGAAGACATGAAGTTTGCCTGGTAGAGGTGTTTATAATTTTTCAAATGAAATGGGGTAGATGGCTGTGACTTCTTGTCCTGTTTCTCCGTTCCTCCGAACTGGCTTAAAACAGAAATCCAACTCCCATGGTTGTGTTCTTTGAGCCCCACATACAGAAGCTGTCCTGTGGCCTCAGATGAGATCAGATGGCACAACTGCTCTCATGCTGCGTGAGGCTGCAGTTATCTTCAGCCAACTGCAGAGGAGGCCTTTTCCATTTTCAGTTACCAGGAGAGCGGGCAATTATTGGAAGTTAAGATGAAGTCCTCTGTTGCTTTCGTTCTCGGCGTTGTCGCCTCTGTTCATCATTGTATTACTTTGGGCCAAGTGGACATTGCAATGTCACATTTTCGTACTTCGAAACATTGCAGTACTTGAGGCTCCTTTTGCCTTTGCTACTTCTAATCAGGACACGTCCTCAGGTTTTACTGAGAAACTGCAGCCGGCAGTGCACTTGGCTTGGGTGAAGTGGAGAGATAAGGTGTTTCGCATTATTCTCCCACAGGTCATTATGCTCAGCTGGATGCTTTTCACATCTACCTGGTGTTACCCAATAGCGCAGCACACCGGCTCCTGGTGGAAAATTGTGTATGAGCAAGTACCTGTTTGGTTTTAATGACTTAATTCTTTATGTGCCCCAATTTTCATATTACAGACATACATAGTAACAGAATATATACATCAGTTTGCTTTTCCTTTCCAAATGATTCTTGAAATTAGGGTTTCCTTCTTTTTCTGCAAGAATTTTTATTTTTTAAAGTTCTCTTCTGTTTCATCTCTTCATTTTACTTCAATCCTGTTGGCTCAGGCTGTATTCCTCCCTCAGGCTGCTGGGTCTCCTTCACCAGAGTTGTGGTTTTATTTGGCTGCTTGTAGATGTGGTCTCTTAGGGTACGTGCAGGTCAGGCTGGTAAACATTCGAGCAATGGCAAATGGGCTGTTGATTTGGTGCTAAAGCCTCTATGCTCTGGTTCTCTCCAAAAGCAAAATGGAGTTAGTTCCTAACAGCAGGGAGGAGCATTCATTTGCCAACATAGAGCTCCAGTGTAGGTCTCCACCGGTCTGTAGGATCAGCAGTCCCCCCTCCCCGACCCCCAGCAAGCAAGGTTGACGATTGAATATTTAATATTATGATGCTTGGGCTCAATATTCTTATAGAACATTTTATCTCACCTCTTCAAATCCTGCAGTTTTGTTGGAAACGAGGACTTTCTTCCATGAGCGTTTCTAAACCAGGAACTGTGTATCAGGCAGGATGCTTAGGATGCACGAGACAAAAATTCCTCCTGATTAAAGCTGCTGCCCCAGGAGCTTGGGGCTTGTTTCCTATGGGCGCCCAACTAAGATGACCATGTCAGAGGTCAGGGGTGAAGTAGGGGTGCAGCTTTTTGGTCTGACAGTTTTTATTTTTATTATTTCCTTTGTTTTTGGTCCGAGAGTTTAAATCTAACTGCCACTTCGCTGTGAATGGCAGCTGTTGACCTGTACCAAGTTATGCCTGTGTTATTACAGAATTTGTGATACGTAAATATAAATACACTTTTTCTCATCTATCAGTGGCTAAGGCCATGGGTTTTGGAGCCAATCAACCCGGATTTAAATCAGTTCTGTGACCTTGATAAGGAGAGGATAACACTATATACATTATAGGGCTGATGTATGGTGTAAGTGAATTAATTTATGTAAAGCAGTTGTGCCCTGCACGCCAGCAGGTGGTTTCTAGCAACACTTCATGTTTAATGCCAGCTACTGAAACATACATCAGAGGCCACACATGATCACATCAGCAACTCTGACACCCAGGTGCACATATTTACAATCTCTATAGTTCCTTTCCACTCTGCAGTAGCCTGTACACTCTTTGCTGGGGCATGCGTTGGGGGAAGATGTGTAATTTCTGTTTTCCCAATGTCTAGCACTGTGCCTGGCATGTAGGAGGCATTCAATACACTTTGCTGAATGAATGGGAAAGATGGTCTGAAATCCACCCCTTGATTGGCTAGGCAGGGCAAGAGAAAGAAAATCAAGAAAGAAAAAACATCATAAAAATGGCCAAATACAGTGGCTTAGCATTTAATTTCTAGAGACCAGATTTTGCTAGATTATTCCAGCAGCTCACTCTAAGTGCCCAGGACAGAAGTGAACAGGAGCCTATGGAGGTATAGAGACATGGCACAGCGGTCTGCAAACAGCACAGAGCGAGCAGTGAGGTTTCTAGGGAATTGTTAGGCATTACTTTGTTATTTTGGTATTATGGGAACCAAGAGGCTAGATGGGGAAAGGATGGTAGCAGTTTGTAAATACTTCAGGGGAAATCTTACCCTGCTGAGAGGAAGGGTCAATTTAGAAGGACAGGAGGTTAGATAAAGTAGTCACAGAAGGAAAAGTGAAGGCGGCTCTCTTCCCAATTAGCAGGAAGAGTGGTGGGGAACTTGAGGAAATATGCATAGATGGGTCCTTATTAGCAACTTTCACTGCAATGCTACCCAGGACTTGTTTTTTTCATACATGCAAAATGGAATAGTTAGCCAAGTGAGTTAGCCAACTTTATTCTTATCACTACTGATAATATTCAAATCCAATTTACATGACAGCAGTTCTATAAAATAATGTATTCTATTGCGATTTCCTGTAGAAGGAAGATCCCTTCCTGACCTTTCTCCACCACCTTTCAGCGCCCATAACAGCTTCCACCCCAATGCAGCAGCGCTTCACTTGGCCCTGCAGGTCTGGAGAAACTCATCAGGAAGAAGTTTCAATCACCTCGTTGTGATTTTCTGCGATTTTCATTTCTTTATAGCCGGTAATCTTCAGGTCTGAAACAAAAAAATCAACATTTATGTCTTTGTGAATCATTATTTCATTTTCACTCTCCTGATGAAGGAAGATTATTTCTCCAATTTCACATGACATTAACTGTTCATCAAGAAATATCTACAGACATTATTTTCTAAGTTTTTGGTGAAAAACACTAAAGCCAAATCCTTACCAAGTAGAATGGTTAAGTGCAGATGGTTAATTTGCCACCAGGTGTGGTGGTGGTGCACAATATTATGGCCAAGGGACTAGATACTTGCAAAACACTGCATCTCAATAACATGAAACAAATACATCTCAAAAATGCAGAGGCTCAAATTAGAACATGGGAATGATAGAGGCCAACACATTTACATTATCTTGAAAATGGGACATTTCTACAAAAAAAATATCTTCAGGAAAAATCTTTTGGGAGATTCTAGTTTTCATTGTAAAAGGGTGGGAAATTCATTTGGTTTGTGAATAAAATAAAACATAAAGCTATAAAACACGTAGTTTATGATACAGTTTAATTAGAGACACTTAATATTATTTGCTCCATTAGGATAATTTATTTTCTAAGGGAAAAAAGCATCTGAATTTCCATTGTAAGTCCATAAAATTGGGTATAAGTGTAATAAATCTCAAAAGTATTTTATTCTTCTCCTTTAGGTCTTATGTCTTCTCTTCTTCTTTTAAAAAAATTTATCTTTATTGCTAAAGTATTACAGATAGGTCTTATGTCTTTTCATTCCTAAATCATTTCTCAGTATCATGCTTACTCCAACAAAATATTTAAGACTAGAATAAAATTTGGATAGCAGAGTAATCTTAACAACAGTAAAAGGTTGGCTTGATCGAGTTTTAAGTCATTTCCATTGTATAGATGAGATTATTTAGAGTTAACCATTCCAGGAAATCCGGTAACATCACATATTCCTTGAACTAAAGGCTGTCCAGGTAACAGTGAGGCAGAGTAATGCTGCCTTTACACTCATTTCTCTTGGCCCTGCACCACCAGCCTGATTAGAAAAAGTTTAACAGTGCATTTATTTTTTTTTAAATATATTTTTATTAATTTCAGAGAAGAAGGGAGAAGGAGAGGGAGAGATAGAAACATCAATGATGAGAGAGAATCACTGATTGACTGCCTCTTGCACACTCCCTACTAGGGATCAAGGTGGCAACCCAGGCATGTGCCCTGACCAGAAATGTTACTTCCTGATTCATAGGTCGGCACTCAACCACTGAATCACACCAGCCTGGCTCAACAGTGCTTTAAGAAAAAAAAATTAAACTCAAAAGACTTAGAAATTTGTTTAAATCGTATTATTGTTCATTCAATTAAAACTAACAGGAATTGTTACATTCAATTACTGCATTAAAGTCTTAAATTCTGTTGGCTAATATAGTAAATGATTTGGTTTTGATCATTTAAAGAGAGATTACTTTTTATTTTAACAACTAGTTCTAATCTGTTCATATCCAAAAGAACAGTTTAGAATGCCTAATTTGAGCAAAATTCAGCACTGGAAATACTGAGGTATATGGTTTGAGCCAATGCTGAGCTGGTTAAAATGGATGGAAAAGTTGGAATGTAACCTTGCTCCCAGGTCCAGCTAATACTGAAGAGCAGCGAATTAAGTTAAATCTTATAGGAAAATGTTACATGACTAGACTAGCATGAAATTATGGAAAATCTTGAAGATGTCTAGATCCTTGCTCCTTGGGTTTTGAAAAGGTAAAAATCCTTCCCCACTGTCTAATTAAATCTCTAATCTGAAGCACATTTTATAAAGGCAGAGGGAAAAATAGGATTTTCTGGATATGAATTTAACAAAAACTAGAAATCTGTAAATGTTTAGGATTAAAGGCTTTTGCATCAGAGGGCACGCACTAGGCTTACATCTCTGCTGTGTCCTAGAGCTATACTGGACAGGACGCTCACCAGGCTGCCTTTCCAGTGCTAATGTTCTGGCATCTGGAACCCTCTTTTCTTTCCCCAGAGCTGCTTGGATTACCTATTAAACAACCTAAACATAATCCTACTTTCAGGGAAGAGAATTCTAGGGCTGATCGTGGTTGTCCTCATATCTCCTCCCTTTCATCCCTACCACCCTGTCTCCCTTGTGGTCCCACTTCTAATAACACATTCTGTGCAGGGCATTAAACACTATGAACAAGGGTTTTTCATAATAAACATCTGTTTTCAAGCATTTATTGATGCTGAAACTTTCCACATTTAGTTTCTCTACAAAGGTGAGGATTTTGCTTAAAATAAAACAGTACTGACTTAATGTGTGAGAAATAAAAATCCATTTCTTTTTTTTTTGGTTTGGTTTTATCACTGTGGATAATGTGAAGCAATTCTAGTTGAAAATTTTCACATACCTAGTTTTTCCTAAGAAAGTTCTCTTACAGAATTTTAAAAAAATGAAAACAAAGAGCTTAAAATGATCCAAGTTTTATTTTTAACCTACATAATGAAACATTTCCATTACAGTGCTAGCAGTATGATTTCCATGATTATTGTGGTTTTGTAATGTGTTGGCAAAACTGCAATGATTATGGAAATAATTATCGATAGTAATGAAATAAGCTAACCATTTGAAAGCTATAATCTCAGCAAATTTTGAAAAAAAGGATAGTGCTGTTGTTGTTTCTTTGAGAAATAAGTTCTAAGTGAGCGCCCTACACACTTACACATGGCAAACACACATCTACTCTGTACCATCAAAAAGCCCAAAATGTAACTTCATAACATATAACATTTATATATATCCATAAGATATAAAAGTACTAAGCTATCAAGTGTATCCATTAATTTAAGAAGTGAGGTATATAGGCAATACTTCTCATATGAGAAAATGGATTTTAACTATAAAAAAGTATTTATAGTTTTCTCAAAAATTAGTTCTTTCCTTCTTGTTTACCATTGTTTTGAAAATGACTAAACAACTACATAAAAAAAATCTCATGTTTGCTGAAGTTAGGCCTGAGAGAATTTTGTAAGTAATTTAAAATAATTTAAATTAAATTCTAACAATGGTAGCTTTTAATTAAGATTTTAAAAATGTTGTCAATCACCAACTGGGTTCAATGCTTAGTTTGACAATTATTATTGTTGTTCAAAAGCTTTCTGTCTAGTAGAAAAACTAATATTTAACCAAAAGCTAATGATAATTCCATTTACATAATGTACATTTTTATATTATGAAAATATTTCAAGTTTTATTGCTAGGGAAACAAAAAAACAAAACAAGCTATTTTTGTGTCCATTTATTTATGATGCAATCCAGGTACATCTGTTTGAGTCAAGTCTCTGCAGATTCACCAGCAGATCTATCTTGGATAAATTCCAGTTACTACATTCGAAAAAAAGATTATATTCTTGGCTTAGCTATTTTGGGTGGAACAGAAGCATATTTTAAGCAAGTTCCTTCTCCAAAATGAGGAAAAAATTTTTTTCCTTATGAAAGCAAATGTACCAGTAATAAGAAATCCCATTTTCAATGGACTGCATTGCATGATACCTCAAATAATTTAATTCTAGTGTACATAATAACATTCAATACTACAACTTTATGACATTGTAAATAACTAAAATGGCATAGTCCATTAAGGTAGTCACTAGCCACATGAGGCTATTAAAATTTAAATTAATTAAAATTATATGTAATTAAATATTCAGCTCCTCAGTCATACTAGCTCAGGGTAAGTACTCAAGAGCTACATGTGGCCAAGAGCTACTACAGTAGACAGCTCTGATTTGGAGCTTTTTCATGATTGTGGAAAGTTCTGTTAGTCCTGAACTAAAAGATTATCTGTTTCTTAGATAATTTTTGGATAATCCAAAAATGCAAACTTTTTCCTTATTACATACATTCCACAGTAATAAAAACTAACTAGATTTGATGTTAGCTCTAAAGTGCAGAATAAAATATTAACTGATTTATGTTTAGAAACTAGTACACATATCATAATATATCCTCAAATTTTACTAAGTAATACATACCTAATTATTTTGGTAACACAAGTTAATATATAGGATGGGGCAAAAGTAGGTCTACAGTTGCTCAGATGGACAATAATGCATCAATTCATAAGTAATAATACAAGAATAAACTCTGTGTTTTGCATACTCACAAACTGTAAGCCTACTTCTGCCCCACCCTGTATGTTGTGTGGTTACTTGTGAGGAAAGATCACAACTTTATTAGCATAAAGGAGAGCCTGGTATCTAGTACATATTCCTGCTACAAGGAAACCTGGAATGAAAAGAAAGGGTGAGGGACTTATTTCATGCAGAAGTAACAGCAGAACAAGGGCAAGGAAGAGTTAAAGTGGACAAAAAGACTGCCAGTCTTAAGCAGTCTGCTATTGCTTGAACAGTGCAGTGGAGTGGGAAGAATTTAAGCTGAAAAGATAGGGAAGAGCCAGGTCATGGAGAGATGGAAGACCAGGCAAAGAAACCTGGAAGCAATCAGATGAGACAGAGTATGTAAAATCTAAGCAGCTTTCCAGACCTGAGGTTTAGGGAACTGTACAGAAAAGAGGAAGTTTTTTGTTTTTCAATTTGGATTAAGACTGTAAGTATCTAGGATTAAGGACTTTTCATTACATAATAGTCTCAGCTTAGTGAAGCAATCTGGAAAATGGAAAATCACTTTGTTTTAAGTAATGACAATTCATTTATCATTCTAAGAGACTACAATTAATCCAAATAATGTCACCCCCAAACAAAATATCTGACAATCACAGGCACCTATGAGCACATTTGCATTTACCTAGCAAGGTCTTAAGACTTAGAAACTATCTACATCTAGAGTTTATTTGCGGGTAGAAGCTGCAAAGGGTATCCAAGAAAGTAAAAAAGAAGGTCACTCTTTCCACCTCAAGAGCCTTATCATTTAAGGAAAGAGGGGATACTAAACTCAGCTTAAAAAAACAAACATTAAAAACAAAGACGGGAAAGAGAAAGACTTACGGAGTCCACAATCTTGGGAAAGCCTCTATTTCTTCTTGTGTGTACTCATCTAGACGTTTGGGTACTTTTCGTGGTTGTGGAAGCTCTTCCACTAAATTCTTAAGAATATCTTCTGGTATATCCTGGATTAAATGAAAAATTTAGGCTTAACTTTTCTTAAAACATATTCTTTAGTAATAAATTAGTAATACTTAGTATTAAATAATAAACAAAAGCAGTATTTATAAAGTGAGAAAAAAATAAAATTTGGAAAAATCCCTGAAAAATACATTAGATCAATGAAATTACCATATAGTAATATATTTCATATTTAAATCTTGACAAACATATTTCTATGATAAATTAGACGTCTTCAATTCTGAAAACTATGAAGTCACTAAGTTCTATTTAAACATACGCACATATGTATAGTTTAATGTTTTCCCCTTCTTTCAACTTCAAAAAGGCACTGCCTTGGTTCATTCTCACAATTTTTCGTCTGATGAATCCAAGTACTGGGTCTACTACTTCCAGTGCTACAAACTCGTAATCCACACTCCAGAAAAAATATGATGTCAGTTTGTCCCATAATGATGGTACGTTTGACCTCTTGATTATGGTTGGTATCTGTCTACCAGATATTTAATATAAAAGTATCTTATCTTTTCTTCTTCAAATAGTATCTTTTCTCTGTGCAATGATGTCTTGAAACTAAATATCCTGTTCTACAATAATATTTTTCCTGATGACTATAGAATATGCTGATAATGGTCACCTTTTAAATTCAGTATCATTCCTACATTTTTTTAGATGACATTCTTCTCTAGAGAAAAGTTTTTTCCATTTCCAGAAAAGAGAAGACAAATTATAACAAGTTAAAAAAATTTTAGACTGTCATTGTGGGCTCATAGATTTTTGTTTCCTATTCAACATATTTATTACTACTATTCATCTTAAGGTTAATACAGTCATATATGTGGTCAGTAGGCATCAATTCAACCTACCTCATGTTTATTTTGGTATTTCTCTATTGGTGTTTGAGCATTGCCTTACCTTCTGGTACTTACTATTTTAGTATTTTGCATGAGTATACTCTGTAATAAGTTTGTGTTTCTTCTCATTCAGAATCAGAATCAACCATTTTCCTAAAGGGAACAAGGTTCCTTTTCAACAGGGGACAGCATTTAGAAAATAAGATCTGGGCATTGCTGTGCTTACTTCTGTTCATACTTTCATTTTATTTTATGAACCAGTGGCCTGGTGCACGGATTCATGCACAATGAAAGGAAATTAATTAGAAGAAATATTTTAATATAGCTATTCGCCCTTTATAATAGAAGTGTCAACCAAATTTACGATCGACAATGACAGATCAAAACACACGTGTGAGACTGGCACCAGCGAGAGCTTTTTATGTATCGTGCATGCACAAATCAACTTAGCCTTTTATAGATATAGAATAAACTTGTTTAATTAGACAAGTTATATAAACTTGTTTAATTATAGCTTTCTGATTTAGCTATACTTTTTCCAGCCCAGGAAGCACCCCAACTTCTCTTTCAGGTAATTGTCAGCAACACAGCAGTAAATATCAACACGAAGCAGATTATCATTGTATATCACGCAGGGAGAACAAAGCGTAAAATATTTAACTGCAGCAGTGTTTGACTATATTCTGCGCAGTGAGAAAACCTGAAGTCATTTTCAAGGTCCACCATTTCTTACTTCTTTTCAGTCGGGTCAAGTTTCTAAGCTTTCTAAATCTCCGTTTTCTGGCTAATGAAAAGAAAATAGGATTCTACCGAGTCCCTGTCTACCTACTCCAGGACTTCTGTGAGGATCAAATGAGATGAGGCATGGGAAAATGCTTCACAGACATTTGGTTAAACTGTAAAATGTTTGCACCTGGCTATAAAGCAAGTTGTGTTCCTGGGCTGAAGAAATTGCAAGGAGGCTAGTCGCTAGGAAGAGGAAGTTGGTCGTTGCTACGTGATGTCGTTACCTGGTGCCCACAGCGACTGTTTCTGGGCTGTGGGCCGCATTTTGTGCCATGGGGTCTCGACAGCGTTGGCTGTGATTTGGTGGGGTGTTGCTCCAGGGTGGTGGTGGGGCCTGTGTCCCACTTGGGGGAAGCTGAGTGTTGCTTTGTCAGCACCAGGTCTGTGGTGCTATTCCTTTGTAAAGTGTGTGTCATGGCAGCTCCTGCTTTGAGCGTCTTCCCCCTGGTGGTTAGTGTGTGTCATAGCAACCGATCAGATGGTTGGAGGGACACTTAGCATATTAGTCTTTTATATATATAGATATATAAAATTTTTAAAAAGTTAAAGTAAAAAAATAATCTAAAGGGTATTCTCCTCCCCAATTCTCATTTCCTTCCCTATTCCTTTCATCTCTTTGTGCCCATGTGCCAGTAAATAGCCAACTTCATTTTCTCATTTATTCTTCCTGTATTTCTTTATGCAAAAAGCAGATATAGTAGATATGTGTGTAAACATTCATATGAATATATGCATGCAAAAGGTGGTAAGTTATCTACATTGTCACCTTGCTTTTTTTCACTTAATAATATATCCTGGAAAAAACATTAATTATCAAGTCACAACAATGTTTGTCCTTCTATTTTTACAATAGTACTCAACTGAATGGATATCAAAGTTTATCCAATTTTCTATGAGTAAGCATTTATTTATTTCTATTATTTTACTATAATAAATCATGTAAAAATAGTAACCTTGTATATTTTCAGACTGAAAATGAGATTGCTGGATTGAGCAGGAATCTCTTTATGTATTTTGTAAAATGCTTCATAGTTGCCAGATTCCTTGTGGGTTTGCACCATTTTATACTTCCATCAGCAATGCATGAATGCTTTGACAAGAACAAGTGTTGTCAAGCTTTTGAATATTTAACAATCCATTCTTGGGAAAATGGGCTCATTTATTTTATAGTCTGAAATTATTTAAGTAATTTACTGTTCAACTGAACTACCATGAATACTTAAAACATCTCCACTCAAACCTGGCTACCTTAAAACTGGGATAAATAATATTACTTCTGTGTCTTTTAGAAATTATAGTTTATTAAAAAAAAAATGCGACAGTATCATCAGAAAGAGAAGTTATTAAATTCTTGTGATTTCATAAAGGCCATTTATACTTTGGTGAAGGACCACAATTATTTTAAAAGAAGAGAAAGTATTTAATTGAGGAGAAGTGTTGTTACCAATGACCACTGACTTACCTCATCGGGGAAAAGATGCAGCCTCTCCATCATGGTCCTCCTGTGAAGGTTTTTTGGGAGCATGCCATAAATAGCTAGTTTTACAATCTGGAAAAACACATAGTTAGGAGTCAGTAACATACAAATATGACTTGTGATATCAAGAAGGCAGATTTAATTAGACAATGATGGAAACCAGTGGGCTAAGACAATAGGTATATGAAAGGAAACAAACCGAGACCAGAGTCGTTATGTGGCAGCAATAGAAAAGGAACTTTTATTATTTACACATTACTATTTCTTTAGGCTCTATATTTGCTTAATTTATTTTTTAATTAGCAGAAAGGACAAAAGGAAGAGATTAAAAATATCCTATCTGTGTGCCAATTTTAGCTAGACTAAGAAGTTCTCTAAGCTCTTACAAACACCTATGGCTCAAATATTTATTGTGTAGTGACTAGAGCAGGAGGTTCCCACCTCAAACACTAAGCCTGACCATACAGACAGTTATGACACCGACTTGAGAGGTCGCAAATCTGCAACAGTGGTAATGGCTAACATTCACGGAACTTGCTCTGTGTATAGTGGTCAGTGCATTCATTACATCTGATCTTGTTTACAATGCTGAGCCTCACGTCACAGAGGAGGAAACAGATGTAGTGAGATTATAGAATTCCCCTGATATAATCTATATCATAAAAGGCCTGTGGTCGTCATGACCAAATGAGCAGTGGCTCTCGCGGTGGCCGGGGCGGGGCGCCGGCAGTGTTCGCAGACCATGCAAGGCATTGCAGGGCGCAGACATGGCCCTGATGGCAGGCTAGGCTAGGGGACCCTACATGTGCACGATTTAATTGTGCGCTAGGCCTCTAGTGTATCTATAAGTGTCCATGCTCGAATTCAAACCAGGCAGTCCAACTCCCAGAACAGACACACAGTACAGGAAATCACACCTTCATGTGTTTCTCTCCGTAACTTACCAGGAAGACAAAAAGTCTCTTTTCTCTACCAAACCCATTACCAATATGGCAAACTAACCTTTCCATGATTTACTTTTCCCCTTTGATGGTTATCCTCACTGTTGGTTTGAGAGTGATTTCATGTATGTTTTGTCAAGAGAAGGCCACACAGTGCCACCCTGTGTTCCATACTCTCCCGGGGGCCTCCTGGCATACAGTGTATAGTAATATAAGGTGAGTTCTTCACAAAACTGCTGATGGAGACATTTGGAGTGTTGTATAGATTTTCATCATCTGTACTCACATTTCAAGGATATAATTTCACATGCATTAAAGCTAAATGCCTTAAAACAATTCATGTTAGAACAGGGTTTCACTACAAGAGGATTTTCTGTTCCTTCTATTTTCTCATCAAAACCTTTCTACACATAAAAGCTAACGACATCTCATAAATATTCTCCATTTATTTTCTAGCTTAGTTCTGTTAGTACTTTATGTTCTGGAGACTTTATTTAAATATTAACATATTGTTAAAATTAAGTCATAGAAAATTCAGTTCCTCAGCCACACAGCCACTTTCCAAGTGGTCAAGTGCAACCTGTGGCTAGGGGTGACCATGTTTGACAGTGCAGACACAGAACTTTCCGTCAAGGTAGAGAGAGAGTTTTACTGGACAGCACCGATCTAGAAACTAGCCTTTAAAATGTTTAATGTTTTAAAAAGTCTTCTGTAGAAACTGACAACGTTAGAATTATTCAGCAACTTTTCTGGATAAGCAAGTCAGCAAGTCATTACATACTCAGAAAATCATCCCTTTAGCAATTTTACTCTATTAGTAGGATTACATGGCATTTGGCTTCCATGTTCTTAAACAATTTAGTTATACTTACTTGAATTAACAAGTTGGTATTTTAAAAATTTACTCTATTAAAAAATGCAAACATAACAGTCTACTTTAGAAAAAGTGAGAAAATGTGAAAAGGTTATAAGCTGAGAGGAGAAAAAGACAAATACACAAACATAAATATCCCCCAAATAAATATGACACAACATGCACATACAATCAAGTAATTCTAGCTATATAGACTTAAGCAAATGCTTTAAGGAATTCAGAAAGTGAAAAAGATAAAACAAGGTGAGTTTAAAAACATCACTTTTCTCAGATAACTGGTAACCCAGGGCATGTGCCATTTAATGCACACAAAATAACTTTATTAACTAGTTATAGGAGGTGGAGAAACATAAGAAAGGAACCATGTTAGAAGAAAACTGTAAGTACACAAAAGCTCTTAAAGAAACTAAAATATATGACAGAGGGATAAAGGACAGAAGGAAATGGCTGAATCAATATATTTATATGAGTTTAGAATGATCTAAGTGATTTAAAGTGCTTTGAAATATTTAATAACCTAGTAATAACTACTAAATGTATTAATTATGTATTTTACAAATACTATTCCATGAATACCAGAAGAATGCACTATGAAACACATTCTCTTACAAGTCACATACACTAAGTACTGACTCGCAAATTGTCTGCTGGGAGAAACTCATTGCTCCAGACAGACAGGTAGTGGAAGTAAAATCATTGACCTCTTCCTTAATATGCCAACACAGAGTCAAAATTAGGACTTAAAAAAAAATTAAGATCTTTTAACGAGGTGATAATTCAAATGGATTTAACTCTGAAATAGTTTCCAAGCCTCCATCCAACATTTTGTAATACATTTCATTCTTTGTTTATATAAAAAAAATGAAATTACTATGTTACCCAATGCCAAATTCTTAACATCAAAAAGTTGAATTATACTGCCTCCTAGTGTTCAGTGAGGATACCTGATTAATATATAAACTTTAATATTAAAACTATAATTTGTGTAACAGTTATGTACTATCAAAGTTTAAAAAAGAAACAAATAGTAAAGTTTCCTTAAGAAGGAAATTAAACCCAGAAGGAAGGCTGAGTTATATGAAGGGATTATAAGCAAAGAAAATCATTAAAAAAAAAAATAACTGTATAAAATAATAACAAGAATGTTGAATTGAAAGGATTTAAAAAAATCTTGACTTTGTGTGGTTAGCACACAATGCAATGTACAAATCTTGTATTGTAGAAATGTACACTTGAAACCTTTATGATTGTATTAACCAATGTCACCCTAATAAATTTAATTTAAAAATATCTTAAGGATAGGGAAAACATATTGATTGTGAGAGAAAGTGGGTATTAAAAACCTTCTAAGGGCCTCCTTGATTTGATTTGAAGGAAAGTAAATATATTGATTAATCTTAGACTTCTAATAAACTCTACCAATCCAAAAGAAGGTAAGAAAGTGAGGAAAAAATAAAATACAGCGCAGTAAAATTTAAAGTAAAACTATAAAATGTTATATTAGGTTAATACTATCAAATGAAGGTTTATAGAGCTACATTAATATTTTAAAAAGTAGACCTCAGGTTAAAAAGCATTATTGGAGATAAAGAGGTGCATACACCCTCATCAATTATTTAGGAAGATTATAATTCCAAACTTAAATTTTTCTACTGCTAAATCTTCAAAATATGCAAAGCAAAAACTGACAGAACTACAAGAAAAAAATTAGCAAATCTACAACTAAAATTTTAATATAGCGCTTTCAGATAATCAATAAATCAAGTGAACAAAAATGTCAGTAAGAATATAAGATTAGAATATAGTTGACGTATTTGCTGTAATGGATAAACATGTAGTATATATATCTTTCTCCCCAAGACATTTTCAGCAAACATATATTTTAGGTGTTCCAGCAGGTGTCAAGAAATTTTTTAAAAAGCATCACAATTCTTTGACTAAATGCAAAACATACAAAATAGTAATGTTAAAATATATAGAACTGAATGATAATAATACTTATCAAAGCTTGTGTGGTAGAGTTAATATGAAGAATTTATAGTCTTGAATGCTAGCTATATTAGAAGAGGAAAAAGATTGAAAAAGCAATGTCTGCTTTTTCCATAGGAGGGGCGGGGCGCGGGGCGGGGAAGGGGGACCCAACAGACTTACTGCCACTGGATCCTTTTGGTGAAGTTGTGCAGCTGTTACTTGTGTGAATCCACCTGGGTAGCTATTAAAAGAAGCAAAAAGAAGCAAAGACATTAAAGCTGGGAGTAGGCTATGGTATAGTATTCTTGAATATTCTTTTATAATATAAAATGATTTTTATTATGAAATTATACTTGCTTCTGGAAACTATGCTATTCATTAATGTCTTAAAAATTAAGTAGTAGTCTATGCTATATGAAATACTATTATTTTATGTGGGAAACCATCATTATTTCACAAAAAGTTCCACATCTTGGAAAATTTCTTGGCATAACTACTTATATTTTTATTGGAATTTAGTTATTCATCATTCACTCATTCGCTCACTCATTCACTTATCCTGGGGTAGTTTATCACTGTTTGAATTAAGAAAGAAAAAGCAATGGTAAAAATTCCCTGCCAAATTAGACTAAACGTCTGCATAAGCTAGTGGTCAAGTTTAGGGAAAACAATGGTAGACCATCTGGTTCTGAAATAAAGTTCAAACTCTAAAGAGGCCATGATTCTATTTCCTATTAACTAAGAGTTATATGTTGCCCCTAAGTAATAAAATATTTCATTGTGTTCAGATAAAAAAAATATATAAAATGTGTAAATTGGAAATTAAAAATGTATTTATTTGGGATAATATCAGAGGTAGCTCAGTCACTTGGATACCACAGATTAAAGTCTGGAATCTAGATTTCCTACTGGCTACCAGTCTAATATTAGGTAACTCATTTTACCTCTTTTTTTTTTTTTTACACATTTTATTGATTTTCTACAGAGAGGAAGGGAGAGGGATAGTTAGAAACATCGATGAGAGAGAAGCATCGATCAGCTGCCTCCTGCACACCCCCCACTGGGGACGTGCCCGCAACCAAGGTATATGCCCTTGACCGGAACCGAACCTGGGACTCTTCAGTCCCCAAGCCCACGCTCCATCCAGTGAGCCAAACTGACCAGGGCTAGACTTCTATTTTTGTATTCTTTCTCTCCATAGGAAAAAAATACTTTACACCTTCTACACTAAAGATTATCTATTTTTAAAACTAGGATGGCAACTTCTAAACCATAATCCCATTTACATTATATTTCAGAAGTTTGGACTTTATACTGAAATTCCGAGGAGGGGAACAACTTGAGTAATGCAATACTCAGTTGGCTTGTTTTCCAGCTCTTTATAAAAGTCAAAATTTTAATTTCAAAAACAGAGCAATGATTAAGTAGGGTAAATTATATTGTGCACTACTACACAGTGACTGAAAATAACATTTAAATTAAGTAAAAAAAGATATAAACATATATGTAAAATGTTTAGTTAATGGATGAAGATGATTTTTAGTTCCTTCTCTAAACTTTGTATTTTCTAACATTAGCATGCATTAAAACTTTTACAACTAGAAAGATAAATGCTGAATACATAATTGCAATAAAATATTAGGAGCATAATAAAAATACTGTGTCCAAAGTGTAAGTCAAGAGTCAACAGAAACAGAGAAACAAAAAGCAATGATTCTATCTAGAAAAGAGTGACCAAGATACAGTGGGGATACAGTGGGCCTTGACTTACGAGTTTAATTAGTTCCGAGACTGAGCTCGTTAACTCAAATTACTTTGTCAACTCAATGCAAAAAATCGGCCGAGAGACAGCTGGTATCTCAAAAAACTCGTTAGTCGGGACACTTGTAAGTCAAGGCCCCACTGTACTTGAAGTGAAGCCATATAAAGCACCGGAAGGAACCACAGATGTTTAAAGCCCAAGGAAAAGATAAACCAGTGGGCACCTGCTGCTGATGGTCTCAAAATTATCTGAAGAATGTTATGTAGAAGAGATATAATTATTTCATTTTGTTTCAAAGAGAAGAAATAAAACCAATGTGAAAGAAGGAGAAAAACAGACTCAATAGCATAAAGATCTTACTGAAATTTAGAGCACTTCAAAGGTGGAATGAATGGGCTGTCTTATGAGCTATGAGATTGGTATTATTCAAACATAGGCAGAGACACCTATAACTCTAAAGGGATGTTGTGGAAATTTTAGGTATCTTCCAAACTTGGGATTTTGCTCGCCACTAAAACATCTCAAGTACTTTCAGATGTTCAGGATGGTTCTGGAAATAGCAGATGAATTATAGGAAGCAGAAAGAAAGAAGTGAGAATATTGGCTAAAAAATGAGAATAATCTTGATTGGAAAAGTTCATGTGAAAAGTTTCAAGGATAAACAAATTCTGTTAGTAATAACTGTGATTTGGTCCAGGTTTGTGTTTTTTTGACTGAGTAAATTATACATTACCATGAGTAAAATTAGTATTTTTTTAAATGCCAAATTTTGAAAAGACATTTTTCTTTAAATAAGATCAATAGTGTTATTAAAGTAATACATTTCAACCGCCTATCTTCTGTGACAATGGCATCGTCTTACCCAGTATGTGAGGAGTATACTTTTTGTTCCCATTTGTTTCCAGAAAATGCTATGTGCCTTGTGTTCATTATGACAACATGATCACCACAGTCACCTAGATTTAAAAAGAAAAAAGATAAGATTTTTATATGAAAAATCTTTAAGTAAAAGTGACCTTATTTATAAAGCTTACCAAAGTCTAAACAACACATTAAAAATATAAAGGAAGTCACAGTACAACATCAACATCCTTGAATGGATTTCTGTTACTGCTTTATATAACATTTAAGTATAGAAAGAGTTGGCTAGCCATCTGGAAAATCTCAACACTGGAAGGTGAAAGAGGATTTAATAAAGATGCCAATATAAACAATACATCTTTAAAGGCAAATTATTGTTATTTCTATTATGTCTTTCTATTAATAATTTCACTTCACTAAAAATGTATTTATATTAAATGCTTTTAAATGTCTAGTATAAATTTTTCCTTAAAAACAGAAGAAAAAATGAAAACAATATGCATGTAGTTATAAAAAGCATATGTTTTGCCAATAGGTAAATTGAAAACAAATGTAAAACATCACAATTTATTATTCTTCTCAAACGTAGAGAAGAGTACTATGATCTTATGCTTAACTCCTAACCCAATGTTTTTCCCAACCATATTTAACTTGTTAAATTTAAACAGTCACTCTCAACTCTGCATTCATATAAGACAGGTGGGATGACCTGAAAATTAAAATATATGTATCAGACTAATTTTCCAGTGAAAAGTACCCCTAAGTTCGGCTGTTCATCTAAAAAAAAAAAAAAAAAACACCCAAAAAACAAAAAACCCCACAAACGTTAACATGTAAGTTTTCACGAGTTACTATATGGGACAAGATCAAGTAATCAGAAACATTTATTAAATGCTTATTCTACTAATAGAAAAAATAGACTTCAAAAGATTCTAGAAGCTTATTTATTTAAGAAAACACCACTGAAAAAATAAAAAGTATAAATAAGCATTGTATATGAAAACTAAAGATTGCAGTATGTGATTCTCTACAGAACTTGGACTTTGAATGAGATAATTTTCTGAGAGAAGTTCATAGTCTATACAGGACAAGGGTAAAGGAAAGAGGATAAAGGTGAGCTTTCTTCACTAGACTCAAAGGGAATCCAGAGGTGTGAAGGGAAAACCTGGGAAGCTTGCTGTTAGTGTGTCGAAAAGGATAGTTTGATAGTATTTGGTGAATTAAGTGACTAACGTTACTAAAAGTGACACATGGTAGGTTACTAAGGCAGTAGGGGTCAAATGAACCAAAATAACAAAGAGGTTGACGAGATATCTATATAGTTTCAAAGAATGTTGAAATACCTTAGCTTTCAGCCAGACATTTACAGTTGAAGAAGCTAAGGCCCATTAAGATTCAGTGATTTGCCAAAAGCTCACACACCAGATTACTTAAACCCTGTTCAGGATCTTTCCATGACACCTATTTAGAGGGAAAATGGAATCTTTAACTTTCCATTGAAGCTGAATTTATTTGCAAAATTAGATGGCAGAATTAAAATAATACAATAAGTAACATTTAAAATAGATTGACACTTAACTGAATAGCAAGAGAAAAATGGGCAAACTGAGTTACTTTAAGAGCATGATCATTTTTTTCCCCCTAAAAAGTCCTTAAAAGATTTAAAGAAATAGACAATAGAACCAGAGACACCGAAGCATGCACAGACTGATGTATTTCAGACAGAAAATTGAATGTCATTTTTCAAATAAACATTTTGCAGTGATTATGAGCAAATAATGCATGCTTAATAAATACTGGTTAAGCCAATAAATGTTAGAAATAAACTAAATACACAACATATTTATAAATTGAAAACTGTTTTCTTTAAGTTTTGATTTTGGTGACATCTTGTGGACAGGGCAAGTTTTGCTGATGTAAGTTATATATTAAATTTAGTGTGAAACAAAACTACAATTCAACCTTTAAAAATGTAAATTTCTAATTTCATAAAAAAGTGATTCTCCTAGAAAGGGATGGCCTGACAGGCAACCAGGAAAGTTCTGGTGTTCCAGCAGAATGATAACTCATCAGTGTGTAAGGAACACTTCTGTAATAATGGCCTGCTTTTCAGGAAGCAGAACCTCCATTTAGTGACAGGTAAGTGCTATACCTAAAAAAGGAAATTAGGTCACTACTGCTAACTCCACTTTCCCCCAAATTTTGCATCATTTGCATTTCTACAAAGACAACCTAAGAGATCTTGTTTATCACTTTATTGATATCACTGTAAAGGAGTCAGAGATAAAGCAAAGACTCCTAACTTGAACAACTAAAAAAGAAGAGATGCTATTAATTGAGATGGGAAAAAACGGAAGAAACAGGTTGGTCGGGATGGAGAAAATCATGAAGTAAAACATCTTCAAATGAACTTATTCTATTGCAGATGTCTGTTAGACACCCAAGATTTTTCTGAGTAGAAATTTGGCTATGTGGAGAGAAAAAAAAAAAGAGACCAAGATGGCGGCATAGGTAAACACCGCAGACTGCTGCCGCAAACAACCACTTCAAAAATACAACTAAAAGACGGAACGGACATCACCCAGAACCACAGGAAGGCTGGCTGAGGAGAGACTCTTCAACTAGAAGGAAAAATAACAGCACACCGAGGCTCAGAGGAGGCGCAGTGTGGAAAAAACTCAGGTGCGGAGGTGCGCGCGCAAAGCGGGCTGGTGGCTGAGAGCGCGGTTGTCGTTTTCGGTCAGGGGGGAGTCTCAGACTCTGAGCTCCAGATACGGGCGAATCGCTGGGGACTCGGACCCAAACGGGAGAAGCGGGAGTGTCTGGCATCAGTTGGAAGGCAGCTTTCCCTCCGAGGTTTGCAGCGGTTCCGGGGGTTCTGAGAAGCAGAGCCTCTGGGAACGGGACTGAGAGGGGCCATAACCGCTCCCTCCGCCCGCCCTGCCCTGTTGAGCCCGCCCCGCCCAAGCCCTGCGCAGAGCCATTTGCCAGATCGCCTCAGGCAAAGGCTAGATTAGCACCTCCCCAGAGGACAGAAGTTTTCCGCGGCAGACACAGCTGATTCACACAGCCAGTCGGCCTGGTGGTCAAATCCCTCTAGTATTAACTACAACAATCAAGGCTCAACTAGAACAAGACTGCGCACAAAGACCACTAGGGGGTGCACCAAGAAAGCATAAAAAATGCGGAGACAAAAAAACATGACAGAAATGGAGGATATAGAGCTAAAAATCGCAATTTTGAGGGCTTGCAAAAATGTGCTAGAAGCTGTCAATAAACTTGAGGAGAGAGTCACGAAAACTAATGAGACCCTCGATGCTATGATAAAGAACCAACTAGAAATTAAGCATACACGGACTGAAATAAAGAATATTATACAGACACCCAATAGCAGACCAGAGGAGCGCAAGAATCAAGTCAAAGATTTGAAATGCGAAGAAGCAAAAAACACCCAACCGGAAAAGCAAAATGAAAAAAGAATCCGAAAATACGAAGATAGTGTAAGGAGCCTCTGGGACAGCTTCAAGCGTACCAACATCAGAATAATAGGGGTGCCAGAAGATGAGAGACAGCAAGATATTGAAAACCTATTTGAAGAAATAATGGCAGAAAACTTCCCCCACCTGGTGAAAGAAATGGACTTACAGGTCCAAGAAGCGCAGAGAACCCCAAACAAAAGGAATCCAAAGAGGACCACACCAAGACACATCATAATTAAAATGCCAAGAGCAAAAGACAAAGAGAGAATCTTAAAAGCAGCAAGAGAAAGAGACTCAATTACCTACAAGGGAATACCCATACGACTGTCAGCTGATTTCTCAACAGAAACTTGGCAGGCCAGAAGGGAATGGCAAGAAATATTCAAAGTGCTGAATACCAAGAACCTACAACCAAGAATACTTTATCCAGCAAAGCTATCATTCAGAATTGAAGGTCAGATAAAGAGCTTCACAGATAAGGAAAAGCTAAAGGAGTTCATCACCACTAAACCAGTATTATACGAAATGCTGAAAGGTATCCTTTAAGAAGAGGAAGAAGAAAAAGGTAAAGATACAAATTGTGAACAACAAACATGCATCTATCAACAAGTGAATCTAAGAACCAAGTGAATAAATAATCTGATGTACAGAATGAACTGGTGATTATAATGAATCAGGGACATAGAAAGGGAATGGACTGACTATTCTTGGGGGGGAAAGGGGAATGGGAGATGCGGGAAGAAACTGGACAAAAATCGTGCACCTATGGATGAGGACAGTGGGTGGGGAGTGAGGGCGGAGGGTGGGGTGGGAACTGGGAGGAGGGGAGTTATGGGGGGGAAAAAAGAGGAACAAATGTAACCTGAACAATAAAGATTTAAAAAAAAAAAAAAAAAGAAAAGAAATTTGGCTATGTGAGTCTGCAATATAGGAAAAGGGTCAAAACTGGAGACATAAATTTGGGAGCTATTAGCATAGAGATTATACAGGGTGGGTCAAAAGTAGGTTTACAGTATGAAAATAATACAATAATTAATAAATAATAATACAAGAATAAACAGGGTTTCATGTATTCACAACTGTAAACCTACTTTTGCCCCACCCTGTATTTAGAGGCATGAGGCTTGAATGCGATCACATAGAGAATGTGAAGAGGTCCAAGGACTGGGCTCTGGGACACACCCAATTTTTAGTGGAAGAAAAATGACTGGGAGTTCAGAAAGTTGAAGAGAGCAAAAGGGAACTGGGAAAATGGAATCAATAAGGGGTGAAGAAAGAGGAAGAATGGCATCCCAGAAAAACAGTGAAAAATGTGTTTTTAAAAAGTTCTCTCCATGAAAATTAGCCTGGACTCCTCACAAGATTAATTGTAAGAAACAAATAAGAGAAGGATTATACTAGATTAAAAGACACTAAAACAAAACATAACTAAAGGCAATACATAACCCTAGTTGGACCATAGTTCAAAAAAGTAATAGTTAAAAAAAATATTCTTGGGACTACTAGGGAACTTTGACACTGCACTGGATATTACACTGCATAATTAACTTATTTATTTGCTTATAACAGCATTTGGTTACACAGGAAAATATATTTTTACTTAGGGACATATGCTAGAGTATGTAGGGAAGATAATAATAACATCTTCAACTTGTTTTCAAATGACTGAGTAAACCATATATGATAAAATGTTTAGAACTATGGAATCCAAGTTAAGGGCATAAAAAAATTCACTGTACAATATTGAACATTTCTGAAAAAGCTAGAACTTTCATAATAAAAATTAGAAAAAAGTAAAGAATAAACAACCCAGTTTTAAAAAAAGAGAAAAAGACATGCACAGATATTTCACAGAGGAGGAACTGATAAAAGGCTAATAAACAAATGAAGAGATAGCTGCATTTGTAATCAGGGAAATGTAAATTAAAACCACTAAGAGAGAGCATTTCACATCTAGTGTTCAAAATTATAAAGAATGAAAATATTCAGTGTTACTAAAGATGAGGAGTAAAAGAAACTTACATGCTGTTGGCAGGAGAGGACATTGGCATAAAGACTAGCTAGCTTCCCAGGCAGCTTTGAACCCAGAAATTCCTGTTTTACTGAGATGTCAGATAAACTCTTCCATGTGAGCACCAGGAAAAAGGTATAAGAATATTGAAAGCAATGTTGTTTGTAATCGCAAAAATAAGTTGGAAACTGAGTGCATGGGTATTGAGTTCATTATCATCATTAATTTTCTTTAAAATAATACCTATATTTATATAGATAGATACATCTCTTTCTATCTCTTTGTATACATATTTCATGATACAAAATAAAAAGGTAATTAAAACTGTGATCAACCACAACAAATATTGTTGACAGGTCAAGCAAGATGAGGAATGACACCTGGATCCAGCAGGTTGAACAGTGATGAGCCTAGGTCAGTGATGGTGAACCTTTTGAGCTCGGCGTGTCAGCATTTTGAAAAACCCTAACTTAACTCTGGTACCATGTCACATATAGAAATTTTTTGATATTTGCAACCATAGTAAAACAGAGACTTATATTTTTGATATTTATTTTATATATTTAAATGCCATTTAACAAAGAAAAATCAACCAAAAACATGAGTTCATGTGTCACCTCTGATTCGCATGTCATAGGTTCGCCATCACTGGCCTAGGTTAAGTGAAGTCAATCAAAATTATCTACACTAATAAAAGAGAAACATGCAAATTGGTGTCACTCCACTATGCCCACCAGCCAATCAGAGCAACTATGCAAATTAACCCAACAAAGATGGCAGTTAATTTGCATAGGCAGGCATGGAGCGAAGAGCGAAGACTGAAGACTGAAGACTGAAGAGGACTGAAGACTGAAGACTGAAGACTGAAGACTGAAGAGGCTTGGCTTCTCCGCTGCAGCCGGACCAAAGGCCTGGGTCCTGGGTGCTGGAGGAAAACCGATGCCAGCAGCCAGGGGAAGGAAGGCCTATTGCGCGAATCTTCGTGCAACGGGCTACTAGTCTGTATATATAATCTCTATATCTAAAAGGCTAATATGCAAAGTGTTCCCTCAGGAGTTTGACTGCGAGACCGGGAGTTCGATTGCTTGTTATGACATGCACTGAAGACCAGGGAGCAGCGTGGAACATGGCAGGTGACCAGCGGCAGTGGGGCACTGAGGCAGTGAGAGAAGGAGGAGGCGGGGAGGCGGGGAACCTGATCGGCCCTGATTGCCAGCCAAGACCTAGGGACACTACCTGTGCACAAATTTCGTGCATCAGGCCGCTAGTCTATAATAAGCAGAAGTCTTTTAGTATGAAAGCAAATTGTTTTGTTTTGGAAAAAGGATACAGAAAAGCAAATTTATTAACTTAAAAAAGCAAAAAGTAAACTTTCCATGCCTAGCTAGTTCTACATACCTTTCTGGAGGAAAAGGTTTTTAGAAGAGAGGGCAAGCTTATTTGCTCATTTTTAAAACCTGTCCATTCAAACATATATTGCTGTGTGAAGAAACATGGATAGAAATTAACATATAATTTATAGCCCAAATCAGGATATTTCTGAGTGTGAAAGAGGGGGCCACTGATAATTTTCCTGGGGCAATGGTATAAACTGGGGTTGTCCCAGGCAAACTGGTCTGTATGGTTTTCCTATGAATAAGCCAGATTCATTTTAGTGCTCTAGTAGGTTTTTAGCAAGAATGAAATAAACGATCATCAGGAAAAAAAGAGGTCCTTAAAAGCAGCCCACTCAAACTACTTCAAGATTCTATTCTGGCATGTAAATTGTGGTTAATTTACAGGTCTAAATGATACTCACTCAGTTGATGATACACAGGTTTATGCAATCCTTGAAGTTTAATTGATGCCACAGCAGCAAGTTTGCCAGGGGGCTGCATTTTCCCATCTAAGAGATACCAAACTCGAGCAAAAGTGGCCCATTGCTTGGAAAAACAGAAGAGGAAACAAATAAAATTCTAATTAAAATAGAAATAATTATTATATATCATCAAAGAACAATACGATAATTTTCCTGCCTGCTTTTCTATTAGTAATATGCATCATGCTTTATTAAAAATATTCCAAATATTTATTTCCCTTTACATTATGACTTATATTTTTTATCTGGCATAGCAGAAAACCTGGAAGGGTAATAAAAAGCCTGTATGAAGTAGAAGATGTGTAGTGAATTAGGAACTGAAGACTATTCAGGAGTTTAATTCAAAGAGAAAATTAAATAGCAGAATGTGGCTGAATAAACGTAAATTAAAAAAAAAAACCTGCCTTAGACATATTTAGGCTGCCTTAGGCATAGATCACCATCTTTTCAGTGCCTTCAAATTCGAGGACACCTACAGCCCAGAAAGATCTCGACCAGATGCTTCCTCTATGCACATACACAAGCAGCTACACGATGCTGGAAAAAATATAACTAGGCTACTTGTTTCATTTTCAACTTAATAATCACAACCTCAAATCAGCCTATAAAACTGCTACCAATTCTGTTTTTTCTCCTGTTCTCATTTTTCTAGTCTCTATTTAGTTTCCCTTGCATATGTTTTGTCTGATTTGTCCCTATTTTATATATTTTGATGCCACTGTAAATGCTATTGTATTTTTAATTGAAACTTCTAATTGTTTGTTGCTACTATATAGAAATACACTTCACTATTATATATTGGTCTTGTATCCTGCAAACTTGCTAAAGATATTCATCAGTTCTAGTAGCTTTTTGTAGATTCTGATTTTTTTTTACATAGATGATCATACCTTTTGTAAATAAAGACAGCTTCTAGCCCAAAGCCTTTCCCTACCATTCTCAGCTTATGAGCTAATAAAACAATTCAAACAGCAGGAATTCTACAGCACAATCTTGTTTCTTCAACAAATTGCAAGGAAAAGGGACCTATTTATTAAGAGAGACTTACCAAAACAACAACTTATTGCATTTTTGGATCCTAATCCACAGGGACAAACTGTAAAAATATTATGTATTTGTATAATACACGATATAGGATAAAACTGGAAATTTAAGCATACTGGATATTTGATGATATTAGTTAATTTTTCATTTAGCTTTGATAAATGATATTGTGATTTTCTTAAATCCTTGTCTTGTAGAGAACATTGAAATATTTACTAATGAAATAATGAGTCTCTTCTTTACCTCAAATTCAATAAGAAGGGAAGGAAGTCAATGGTGGTATAGATGAAATTACATTGGCTATGAGTTTTCTGATAGTGGGTGACATCTATTTTTGTAGATGATTGCAATTCTCCATAGTAATTTTTTTTTTTAAAGCAACTCCTGACCTCACTTCTCCAACAGCAACTGCCTCATTTCTTTCCTTTCCTTTTTCTTTATTAAGTTTGTCTCTCCACATTCTCTTTTCAACCTACTCCAATCTGGCTTTTGTTCTCCCACACCTATCACTACCCCTCTACTGCCTGCCAAAGTTACCATGACCTGCATGCTCCTAAATCCATAGGTCAATTCTAAGTCCTCCATACAGTTGATCATTTCCCTCTCCTGGGTATTCTTTCTTCACTTGGCTTCCAGGACACCACCCGGTGGTGTCCCCCCGTCCCCCCGCAGCCCCACTTTGCTGGTTGTCCCATTATCCCCTGCCTCTGACATGTTGAAATGTCCCAGAACTCCGAGATAGGCCCTCCTCTCTTCTCTATACTCACTCCCTCAAAGACTTCATCCAGACCTATACCTTTATTTATTTTTTTAAAAAATATATTTTATTGATTTTTTACAGAGAGGAAGGGAGAGAGATAGAGAGTTAGAAACATTGATGAGAGAGAAACATCAATCAGCTGCCTCCTGCACATCTCCCACTGGGGATTGTGCCTGCAACCCAGGTACATGCCCTTGACCAGAATCGAACCTGGGACCCTTCAGTCCGCAGGCCGACGCTCTATCCACTGAGCCAAACTGGTTTCGGCTAGACCTATACCTTTAAATGCCACATGTTTGCTGATTGAGACTCCCAAATTCACATTTCTAGCCTGGACCTCTTCCCTGAACTCTACACTTGGATCCAACTGCCCTCTTAACATCTGCATTTCAGTGCTGCTTAAATCACATGTAGCAAAAGACTAGTTAATCCCCCAATCCAATGTAGACCAATACAGAAAGAAAAAAAAACTTTGATAAAAAATTAAAATGCCACAATGCCAAACTATTATCCAACTTTTAAAATGTTTGATTTTAATTCTTGTATTTACCTCATCAGGGACAGGTAACAATGACCTGTCCCAGGAAGGAATCACACTTGGAGCAGAACTGGGCTCAGAGGCAACTTAAACTGAAACACAAAACGAACTGCTCTTCCAACTGAGCCCTGCTCCAGTCTTAGCCTTCCCCACCTCAACTGATGGCACACCCTCCTGGCAGCTGAAACAAAAACCCTGGAGTAACCCTTGCTTCTTCTTTTGCTACCCTCCCACCTGCAGTCCTTCAGGAAATCCTATTGGCGCCACCATCAAATAGAACCTGGCCATTTTTCACACCACACGGTTACTAGTACCTTGGTTTGTGCCACCATCATGGCCAGCCTGGATCACAGCAACCACCTCCAAAGGGATTCTTGACCTCTAAACAGTCTATTTTCAACCCAGCACGCCAGAGTGCTCCCTTTAACACATGCGATCATGTTACGCCTTGGCTCGAAAACCTCCCATAGGTTCTCATTGTACTCAGTAAAAAAAAAACAACAACAAATTCTGACAATGATCTACAATGCCCTACCTACGTGATCCATCTTATTACCTCTCTGACCTTCTCTCCTAAAACTCTTGTCGGGAACAAAAGACATGGAAAGGGCTGCTTGAAAAGAGGGGGGAACGAATACAAAGAGAACACGAGCAAGTAGGGGCCAGGGCCACGACCCTCTCATCTGTGCTTCCGAGGTACCCCCTGGTCCAAAGACTCGGCTTCCTGCCCATTCAGCTTCACTAGGCCAGCTGCAGCCACTGACTCCTCCTGCCAGTGTAATGAATCCCATCAAGCCACAGAGTCCGAGCTCACCTGGGGCGCCCTAGAGAAACTCGACATGCTACCCGACTCGCAGGGCCGTCCTCCGGTCTCCGGAGTCCGGGGCGGTCCGCGGCATCACGGGCCCGGCGGGAAACGCATCCAGCCAAGCAGGACAGTTCCTGGGCCGGCCAGCACTCGGCCGCTTCTCCGCTTTTCCCGGGTCCCCTCCGACCTTCCCACGCCCGCTATTTCGTTACGAAGGAGGAATTCATGCGGCTCTCTCGAGAATAACTCCCGAAATTCACTCCTTGCTGGAAAAGCTGCGGAAAACCAACGGCAAGCACACAATTTCCAGCCGACCTCAATAGAAGGGAACCGGAAGTGCGTCAGCGGCGCGCGGCTGTTTTGATGTGGGATCGGGGCGCTGAAACCCGGGCGCAGCTGGGGAGCGATGGATCGGTACCTGCTCCTGGTCATCTGGGGGCAAGGAAAAGTGCCCTCGGCGGTGGGTGGGCAGCCGGAGCGCCCGCCAGGGTCGTCGTCCTCGGAGGGAGCCGAGAAGCAGCCCGGTGAGTGCTGGGCTGAGAAAGCGCGGGAACGGCTGTCGGGGGAGGAGAAGGGATGGGAGTTTGCTATCAGGTTCTGCTGGGGAGGAAACTATCGAGTTGTCCCAGGCAGCTGGGACTCGATCGCGGATCGAACTGATGAGGGCTGACATGATTCATTATCTTCCTGGAAAAGCAGGGCCACCTTGGTGGATGCAAGATTTTGGCGCCCAGAAGTTCTTGGCAACAGTACAAATTTCATTGAATACATCCTCTGTGCTTTTGTAATGGAATTTCTGCTTTTTGGAAATATTTGCATTCCATAGGTGTATCTGTCTCTTGTGTTGCAAAGGCAGGCAGTACAGAAAAGAACACGATGGAAAAGACTCTTAGTCTCTTAGAGTTTACATCCTAATGGGAGGAGACATCCAACACATAAGTAAAAACAAAAAACAAACAAAACAAATCATAACTTTAAAACATTTTGAACTGTTGGAGAAGGCACTGCTTTTGGTGCTCCTGTCTAGACCCGGTATTGCACTTTTTATTTGTTTGTTTTGACCAAGCAGGCATTTTGAGGAGGAAGTGTATGTGGCTGTGTATAGGGTGCTGTGACAGGGTTTCCTTTTCAGCATAATTTTTCTTTGGGGGGAATTTTGGATATGTCACCTGGCTAGCATGCACAAACCGGGAGCGTTTCATATTTTCTCCGCTTGCTTTAGATATAACAAAACTTGAGCAGAGCATATTTCTTTTACGTTCAACATGTTGTTCAGGAGAGTCTCTTATGGTGAAATTAGAATAGGCCTAGAGATTATGTAACTCTTGAGCCCATTGAGTTAGTCTGTCATTTCCTTTTCAGACTGGACAGCAGCAAATGTTTATCACCTTCTGAAAAGAAGCATTTGTGCTTCAATTAATCCAGAAGATAGTACTTTCCCTGGTAAGTACAGCATGAATCCCTCTTTTCTCCAGCACAGCACTTATTGGTACTGGAAATAAACTTTTCTTTTTTGTTTGTTTTTATTTTTTAATCACAGTAGCTATTTTTAGAATCCATTTACTAGCACATTAGACTTGACTTGAATATCACAGCAGCTTTATCACTTTTTTTTTTGCTGTGCTTTTTTCTTTTGTCAATTCCCTCTTCCTAGTATCTATTTTGTAAAATATCTAGTGGATTTATCATAGGAAGACAGAAGGCAACGCAATTACATCTTTTGCCATCTCTGTGCAAACAATATAATTGGTTATAGGCCAGGGGTGGGCAAACTTTTTGACTCGAGGGCCACAATGGGTTCTTAAACTGGACCGGAGGGCCGGAACAAAAGCATGGATGGAGTGTTTGTGTGAACTAATATAAATTCAAAGTAAACATCATTACATAAAAGGGTACGGTCTTTTTTTTTTTTTAGTTTTATTCATTTCAAACAGGCCGGATCTGGCCCGCGGGCCGTAGTTTGCCCACGGCTGTAATAGGCACTTAGCATCTTCCCTAGGTCCATGAATTAAGCCTCGATTGCTACATTTCTGCTTCTCTCTCCATTGAATCTAATTTGTATGCATAGCTCTACATTCATGCTTTTCTAACACTCACCCTGGGGAGAGCCTTAATTTCATATCCACTGTTAATATTCCAGCTCCAAGGAGAGCATCCTCCTTGTCTTAGGTTATAGTTACTCTTTAACTACTCCCTTTCTAGCCAGACCTTCTTGGTCTTTGAAGAGAGCATTTAGTTTTCACTAAAATGACTTGCACAGTTTTGTGTGAATTAATAGGAATACAGTGGGTTTTTTTTCAACATCTTTATGGTAGATTTTATTGTTTCAAATGATGATTAATAATAAAGATTTTAGCCCTGGCCGGTTTGGCTAGTGGATAGAAGGTCGGCCTGTGGACTGAGGGTCCTGGGTTTGATTCCAGTCAAGGGCGGATGCCCGGGTTGCAGGCTCAATCCCTAGTAGGGGGCGTGCAGGAGGCAGCCAACCGGTGATTCTCACCATTGATGTTTCTATCTCTCTCTCCCTCTCCCTTCCTCTCTGAAATCAAGAATATATATATATGTATATGTAATATATATATATATATAAAGTATCCATGGTGAGTGAATATGTGTGTGTATAATGCACATTATATATATACGTATATATATATAATATTACATATATAACTTGGACTACCTATATGTATCAAAATTATATAATTCTCTAAGTATATATACTATAACATCTGCTTAGTTGTGGTATGTCTTTCTTCTAATAAGTGTGATTTTTTTTCAAGCCTGTTCAGTGGGCGGTGTACTTGGCTCCAAGAAGTGGTTCTTTGCAGTGCAAGCCATATGTGGATTTTATCAGGTAATATAAATTTAGAAATATAGTCATTATTGAATGTCTTTATTAATATAAATAATTTCACAGACTCATCATTTAATGCCATCTTTTGATATATTAGTTTTGTAGTTCTGACTGGGAAGAGATACATTTTGGTACAGAAAAAGATGAAATTGAAGATCTTCTACAAACAAATATCGAAGAATGTCTGAGTGCTGTTGAGTGTTTTGAGGAAGAAGATAATAATAGCAGGGAGTCCTTATCCTTGGCTGAGTATGCTTATATGCTTTTTATAGTATCTTTAGTTCACATTAGATAGTATTTTAGCGATAGAATGAAGATTAGATATTTTAGCAGCTATAGTAGAGGATTTTAGTTACTTGACACAACTTCTCATTTTGGAAGACATTAGACGATTTGGGTCATTTGAGTAAAATTCTTTAAAATGCAAAAATTGGAGTCAGATAATACTTAGCTTTAGCTTACATAATTGTAGGAACCATAAAAAGTGATATTTTATTTAATATGCCTGATAATTATATTTTGTAATGAATAGAACCTTTAAGGTTAATAACTGGGCATTCAAAAACTATCATTGTTATTTTGCTATTTCAGGCTGAAATATTATTTCTTCAATTTCTATATATCTCCAGTATTTTAAGTACCTTTAAAAATTCATAAAGAGTTTTTGAGGATTAAATAGGTAATTGAGTTCACTTTTAGTGTTTTTTTTAAAATTGTACAATATATAAGCTGATTCAGGTGATACAAGTGGTGATAATTTTTTTTTTCATGAAATATTCTGTTTTGACTCATAACCAGTGCCTTTTATTTTAATCTCCCATATTGCATTACGAAGAACCACTTTTATTTACGTTAGTAGTCAATTTATATTTCAATAAATTGTTACAGACTTTTAAAAAGTTTCAGTTTTCTATTTTTAGGTCACATTTGTTTGTACTGATTGCGAAGGGAGACATTGTAGAATTGTGGAAAGAACCTTGAACCTTGACACATATAACTAGTGTCTAGTTACATGATTTTGGGCCACTTAACTTCAATGGTCCTTTGTTTTCTTATTTGTAAAGCGTTGAGATCCTTTCAAAGGATTCTAAGGTATTTTCCAGCCTCAGATCACTTATAATTCCTTATGTTTTCCACCACTACTACAAGATGATAGACAAGCCTAAAAGCAAATATTTCTAGTAAATGACCTACTAATTATTTCCACAAGAGGGAGCTTGAGTACTATACTTTATCATAGATGCCTTATGTTTTTTAGACAGTGGTGGGTTTATAATAAAGGATTTAAATACCTTTATGATTTATAATAAACTACTTTGTGAAAAAATTCATCATATGGATCAAACTAAAAGATTTTGAAGAATTTGAGTAGAGCTTTATATTTCCCAGTCAGGGCTCTTATATGCAATTCAGAGCAAAGCAGTATCCTTTATTAAACACTTAGCAAATACCTTACTTTTAGGATTCAAAATAATGCTTGGTCTATTAGTTATGATTTTTATTTAATAAATATGTTTAATTTAGGGAGCTTATCTTTGTTATTGTTTGTTTTTGGGTATGACTGAGAAATTGAACTCAGGATTTGCATCCTGTCTTCCACACCTACTAATTACGTAACTTTAGGGAAATTCTTTTAATTAAGGACCACAATAGTATTATAGTAGTACATCATGGAATTATCATGAGGCTCAAATGAGATAGTGCATCTAACATACTTAACAGTATCTAGCATGTAGATGCATTAGTATTTATGATGAGATGTAATGTGTATGTGTTTTTGTTTTTTCTAACTTACCCTTTTATTTTAGTCTATATGAAGAATCTGCAGAAAACTTGCATCAGTTATCAGACAAACTTCCTGCTCCTGGTAATGTTTTATGACTGCTTTCAATAATTTGTATCATATCTTACACTTTCTGTGAGTGATAAATTCAGTCTTTATCCTTGGGTTGTCACTTTTAACTTTGAAATTCAAAATGAAAAATAATTTCTTAATTGAAGTTGATACAAAGTATAGTTTACTACTTTAATAAAATACATTCTGGAGACATTAGAGTTCTCTTATTTGTTTTTATTTAGTGAGACAAAAATTAGAACTTAGAAAATGAAATACCCATCTGTTTCCTATTTTATTTTTTACTGAAGAATCTTTCCACTACATACCAGTGTTTTACAGAGTATGTTCTATAGAACATTAGTTTCATACACAACTCCTGGAGGAAGAAGTTCTTTCACCTAGATAATTTAATAACATTCTTTTATGCTGTGAAATCGCTATATATATCAAATTTAAAGTTGTGCAATAAGAGAAGCCACTGATTTAGCATTTTTTTATAGAACTATTTTATGATTTAGCATTTTTTTATAGAACTATTTTATAGAATCATATTTTATGAATACTGTGTCATACTAGCTTTAAACTGTTTTTGTCTTAAATTCCACTTTCTTTGTGTTAATCAAATAGCTGGCATCTAAAGCTTAGTA